CGAGCGAGGTGCCGTTGAAGCTCACGTCCATGTCCATGTAGACGTCCCCCGAGCATTGTTGGAAAGACACGGCCACCGCGGTGGCCAGGCCCCCCTCGAAGGACATCGCCAACGTGTCGCCCGCGGTCACGACAACCTGTCGTTGTCGTTGTTGTTGTCGTTGTTGTTGCGGAGGCCAGGACGGTACGGCGAGAGAAAAAAAAATGTAGGAGGATCGTTAGAGGTGAGAACAAAGGTGTGTGTACTTCGTTTAAAATTGCCTGATTTTGTTGCGTATGCCTGCTAATCAATGTCCTTTTTGCTAGGTGAGGTGGGCAAACATGTAATGGCTGCACGGCGGTTGATGTACCCCCTCCCCGGTGGATGTAGCCCCCCCCCCCCCCCTCGAAAAGAACACTTATCTAGTCACACGACGGAAATGAACACAATCATCATAACAGAGGAAACGCAACAATAATGCAACAGTTGTGCTCCACCAACACATGGCGAAAAATAACGGCTTAACCAAAACACATGCCAACAATCACGCTCCACCAACATGAAACAACCCCCCCGGCGAGCAACCTGACATGGCAGTATCGCATGTGCGGGATGGGGGAGGAGAGGTTGCCGAGAATTGTATGGGAGGCGAAGTGGGCAAACAAAAAGAGGGGTAGACAACCCACGGAATGGGTCAAGGTTGTAGAGGACGCATGGAAGGGGCTCGACATCGACAAGATGAAACGCTGGAAACGGAGGGTCTGCAGGGGTTCAAGGAGAAGATATCTGTTGCTTGTGCCGAGAGAGAAGAACAGAATCTGAGAAAAGAATCCAAGGATAAAGGGTCTAGAAGTGTACGGAATGTTGGAGGAAGGAATAGGGTTCAAGGACTACCTACATAAGACCAACGGATGCAGGAACAACGCTTAAGGTCAAATTCAGGACCGGGGACATAGGCCTTCGAGAACGTCGACGAAGACGACGAGTTCAAATGTCATTGCGGCTTCGAATGCGAAGACCGTGTTCATGTAGTCGCGGAACGTCCGTTGTACAAGGAGAGGGAAGTGTACGTGACTGAGCTGGGAAAAATAGATGGGACGTACAGGGAGATGTTTGAGGCATGGAATAGAGAGGAAAGGACGGTAGCTGTAGTGGGGCATAGGAGGTGGGTTGAAAAGGCGGGAAGGGATATCGTTAGGATAGACAGACTAGGGAAGACATTTTTGAGCCACCTTTGGCAAAGTAGAAAGGAACGATTGGCCATCGGTGATCGGTCCTGTGGGAACAATGCTCCGTCCTCTCGAGGACGCGTGGTCAGTGGTCTAACCGCTAAGGCTAGCAAAACATAAAGAGTACGCCCCCCCCCCAGACCCGTCATTCTCACGTCAATGGGGTCTCCGTACTCGAAGCCTTGCGCGTCCGCGCCCCGCGGATTCCGGGACAACAGTGCTAGCAGGAGAGCAACGGCCGACGACGCCATCGGTCTGAGGGTGGAAGAGATACGCCTGCAGCTACGCCTTCGGCCCGCTGCTGGTCGTCCCGCGCCGCTGCTGCTGCATTGCGAAGAAGGGGGGAGGGGGGGAGGGATAGTTTCAGGGTGTGTTCCATATAAAACAATCCATTTATACGAAATAATTTTGGTTCTAGCCGCCTGCAGCTAATGATGTGATAACTTTGATTTTTGGCACCTATACAGCAGTTGCCTGTGGTGACATTCGCACACCGGCCGATCACAAGAACCAGTCAAGGACTTCCACTTTTTGCATGTCCTTTGAGTCCACTCTCAGCCCCGCTGTTCCTGTCGTTCCCCGCACGTGTGCCGCGTGTGACACGATAATATGCCTAATACATGAGATGCTTTCGAACAAGCCGTCAGCACTACTGATAATATGTGAGAGGTTGAAGGCCATCAGCAGCTACCGCTTGAGCTGTGCGTTAGCAAGCAGGCCAACGACGCAACTTCCGTGGAGGAAGACCCCGTCCTTCCTTCCATGATTGAATCTGCGTGCCTGCTAACACGCCACAAAGTGCGCAAAATATTTTTTCTCTCGCAGGAAGGCGTGGCACGACACCAGCACCAGCAGCAGCAGCAGTAGCGGAGCCTCTGTCTCTGCGTGGTCCAATTTTCTCTTTTCGAAGCTGGCAATATGTGGCGCTTTTTCCACACCCGCCCCCCACAGACAGCGACGTGTGTGGGGTACCTGCAGGGGGTGGCAAGGCCGCTTGCAGGCAAGTGTTATACAGCATGAATGGACTAGACTACATATATCTACACTATTTTTCCGCCCACCGAGTACATAAAAGGGTACATACGCATTTGTACAAAGGGGGGGTAGGGGGGTGCTTGGCGCCTGGGCCCTCGCGATAGTCACATATGCAACCTGTCGCCCCGGTGGTCTAGTGGGTAACCTCGCAGCCTGCTATGGGCAGGTCATGGGTTCGAGTCCCGGCAGAGTGAGTGTTTTTCTCACTAAATAAATCCTGGTCTAGGATGAAAGCGACGCGTTGCAAAACTCGTTGTTAGTAAACCATAATCGTCTTCGTAAGTCGCGAGGGAAGGGATTGCTGTACCCTTCTCGCGATAAAAATACCTCAGGCAGGAACCGCAGGAGGGGGTCCAGCCCCCCCCTCCTGTGTGACCCCAGTTGCGTCGTCTAGCTAGTAAAAGTGGAGGATAGGGGCCAAATGGCAGATGACAGGATCCGATGATGGGAGAAAAAAAATATATATGTATACTTGTATATATACTTCGTATATATACATATGCATTCAGGTATGAGGGTCACCACCATTATCATACACGTGCGGACAATCTTTCTGACCAGCAGCAGGCTTGTTTGTATGTACATGTGGGGACTTTGAGTAGGCAGGTCTACCCCCGTTGCCCCTGCACTTGCCTCTGATGTCGCGGCTCAACTTCATAATTAGTGCAGACCCTGGCAGCGTGGCATGTAGACAACGGTACTGGCATGTAGACAAAGGCATGTAGACAAGGGTACTGCTGTACAGCTACTACTACGTGATACATACGACACACGTTTTCTATCATGCAAACTGCGGTCGCGCTGCTACATGTAGATTGCTGCCGCTCGCGGCTCGATCTCTGTCTCTCTCCCTGCTTCGCTACTGACTCGCTTCAACAACGCTCCAATCCGCCGTGTCCGCTACATACTCCTTGCCAAAAAAAATGCGCGAAGAAACCCGCCTGCTCTTAGGTTGTGCTTACTCGGCGTCAAAGCAAACAATACATACACGATACACATGATCATTCATTTCGGGCGTCATATTTTCGACAAAACCCTGGTGCTCTCTCCTACAAGGTGCTGGAGTCGGGCAGAAACCCCGCGTGTGACTGACACAAACATAAATTATTGGGGGGTATATATGTTGAACGATTCCTAGTCAGTGTCGATGTTTACACTGCTGTGTCTAACACAGATGATCTGGATAGATTCGGGTGATTGTCAATTGCGATGATGGCTTTGGTTGGTTGTTCTTCTTCATTGTATGTCCACGGGGTCATTCTGGCAGCACTTCAGACAGCAGGTGCATGCCCCGAGCTTGTGTACCATGCACCATGGTGTTATTATTGTACAGACAGCACTGAAGACAGCAGTACGCTGTAGGCGACAAACATTCATTTTGGTTAAGTGCGGGACAAGGGGGGTGATGCTGCTGCTGTAGTCGATTGTAGTGTGTGGGCTGTAGTTCAGTTGTGAGCACGCAAACGTGCTGCAGGGATTGTAGATGTACCTCCTCGGGCTTGTGTATCCTTTTCTTGCGAATAGTGTGCGTGTTCTTTAGATCTTCTGATGGCTCCAGTCTTCGCTAGATTTTGGGAGTAGCAACTGACACGAGTTCAATGTGAACAGAACATCAACAAATCATCGGGTGCACACACCCCGTCAGATATCACTTTTCTATGATATGTAGTACAATCACCTGCTCTTCCCGAGTGTTGGCACGTAGGATGCATCTCATACGCGAGAAATAGCCATGCAGGCGAAGGGCAATAGCGCGGCGGCGGCTCGAACAGCAGCAGGTGGCAAAGCGATCGAAAGAGGCAGTTTTTTGCAAATGATCGCGGGAAAAAACGTGCCCCTTGCACTTGTACGTAGCTCGGGGCCGCTGGCTTCCCGCAAAAAATGTTTGGATCACCCTGCTGGTCAAGATTACACAGCTGCTGCTCTGGGACAATAGTAACGGCGCAGCTAGGAACAGCTATGTAGAACGACATCGAGGCATACGGGGTGCGTATGGGCGGGCGCCAAACCCGTGTTGCATCTGGGGTCGCACGCGAAAAACGAAAAGTGCGCACTGCTATTGTGTTGAACGAACCAAGCAAGGTTCTCCGTCAACAATGGGAGGCGGGAACAGAACCAAAGACCGTTTTCGCTGCGCATGGGGGCCGGCCTGTTCTTTCTCACCTAGTTGCTGCTGCTACTGCTGCTGCTGCGGTGCTGCTGCTGCTGCTGCTGCTGCTGCTGCCATCGCTCCTGATCGCCCCACTTCTCGCCATGTTGTTGTGGTGATGTGTGTTGTGCCTTGCCTTCTCTGTTTCGCTCTCCTGCAAGTCCTACTGCTGTAGATCCGTGTCGCTCGTTTCCTGGAAAGTCGGGAGTACTTTGTTCCTGCTTCCTTTGCCGCTGCGGGTGAGTTATATTCAGTGCTCCAGGAACAGACGAGTCTGTGGAAGTAGATGCTGATGGCCACTGGCGAGAAAAGGAGGAGGAACAGCGCAACAGTGCTCGAGCGGGCGTGCAGAGGAGGGAGAGGCCGGTTTATTATTATTGTCCTGTGCGGGAGGGACCCTTGATCGAGTAGCCTTTTGTGCTGACTGCTGACTTTTCGGGGTCCTCGAAAAAAATAATGAGCCTCACCAATGGTAATGACTAGACTTACAGACTTATATCTGTGTGATATAAATAAAAAATAAAAATAAAAAACAACAAACCAACATATGCCATGCTGACCGAGGGTACAGGGGGCACACAGATGGGAAGTGTCGTACGCCTCTCTCTGTGTCTGCTCCTGCTGATGAGATGAGCTGGTTGTGGTGACGGCTCCTCCTTCCGGCTGTGGGTCGACGCTGGCTGCCGTCCTCTCGCTCGCTCTCGCAACCTTTGCGCGGACGGCGCTAAAGCCGCAGCAGCAGTGGCTATCTCATCGTGGCGCGGCCCACCTCCCCTCTGCTGCTACGAGCGAGGTGAGAGTCGATCCATGATGATACAGAAGTATGTGAGAAATTCGGACAAGCGTTGCTGTCGGCGAGTTGGTGGTGCCATCTCCGCACGGCAACTTCCCTTTTTCCCCGCATTTTTGAAGTAGGACGTCACGTGTTCGACTGTTTTATGCAAAGGGGCTGGTGTTCTCGAGGACGCCCAATAAGCTCTTAAGGTTAGTACGGATGTAATTGCGAGATACCGGCACACCAACACGCGCACACAGCAGCACTTGGACCCCTCGTGCTAACAGCCCTGTTGTTATTATTATTGTCATTGTTGTTGTTTCTCACAATAGCTCTATAGCCCACAAAATATCGTATGTGTATCTCATCTGCCCAGATCGGCTGGGGTATTAACCCGTAAACAACCCCCCCGCCCCCACCAGCCGCACAAGCGAAAGGACCTGCGCATTTACTGGGCGTGTGCGCGTGCGGTGTCTAACAAGCCCGTTGGTTTGCAACAGCAGTAGAAGGGAAGGCACGGGTGCTCACACCCTACTGTGAGTAAATAACAACAATAACAACAACCCTGCAGACAGTCTCTCTTTTTGTGAGAGCCGGTGGTCCGAACCGGGTTATTTCGTTGTCGCTGCAGTCTGGTTTCTGTCGTTTTTCCCTTCGCAACAATACTGGCTGTATATTTTTGCAGACGGTGTGGCTGCATGTCTACCCTCCCTCCCTCTCTCTCTCCCATACAACGATTGCTCAGTCTATTAAGCCATGTATAGCAAGCAGACTAGGCTTGTGTATGCATGCGACAAAGCCACCCTCAAGACCAATCCCCTCGCAGCGGCGGTGTGCTTTTGCTGTACTTCTTTTTCTAATTTCTGTTCGTATTTGGTTCTATGTCCCTTTTTTTCCATAACAAAATTTAGGGTTCCGTAACTACTTGCTGCTGCTGCGAATAGTTTGCTGCCGAAGCTGCTGGCCGGGACCAAACCAGCAAGTCATGCACAAATACCTGCTGCTGCTGCTGATTTTCTTTTGCACGACGACACGTTTTTGCTCTCCCACCAACTCTGCGCTGCCATCGTTTCTCGCTGCGTGCATACGCCTGCTGCTGTCGGCAAAGCTCACGGACCTCTATATTTGGTCATACCGGACTTTTCTCTGCTTGCTCTGTGGCCCATGCTAGACGACGGCAACGACGACGAACTGAGTTTTCTTCAGTCACAACAACCACGCCACTTGGGCCGCGATAGGCGGCGGGGACGCTAAACAGCTGCCATCAGTTGGCAGACCTAACCAGCATGAGCGAGAACGGGGGGAGCCCGGCGGGAGAGGTGGTTGCGGCTGCTTCCGACACGGGGAATGAGGGGCAACCAACAACGGTGTGTGGCTGTCTTTGCACTCGGTGGTAGATAGCATTACACAAAGATGCGCCGCCGGATTTTGGGGGGGTGCGCATCGTATGGGTTTTATAGCCCTCGCGCTGCTGCAGACGGGATAACGACAGAATAAGCAGAAGTCGTTCAGCACATATTTTGCAGCTATAGAAGAGAGGGAATCCTAACATTGAACTTTCTCCGCAAACGATAAGGAGATGTGACCCTCCTTTCAGCGCCATCTCCGCATGGACTTGACTTGAACCTGGAAGAATCAAAACGGACAAGATTTTTCTTTTTCTTTCCGCCCAGTCGTCGTCAGCACGCCCGCCACACACCAAAAATGCATGTTGTACTCCTGCTGTGTTGTACAAACAAACGTCTGGGGATGGATTTGTTTTTTGCCACCCCCTCCGGTCTATCAACCAAGCTATTGGCGAGGGTTGGATACATGCGTTCGCGGATACTGCTGCTGTAGCCATGGACATCCCTGCCGCTGCCCTCATGAGTGACATTCTCAACAAGCGACAGCGTTAGTTAGTCGTCGTTGCCCGCATATGATGTTGTGGCTAAACGTCCCACCCCCGCATGCGCACGTGACCAATCGGCGTGCCATTGCTGCTGCTGCTGTGCGCGTGGCCCGCCGCTGTGTGCTGCCTCTATTCCCGTGGGTAAATAGTTGGTTCTTCGTCAGCGGCGGTGATGTATCTTCCACCGCTGCTGCCGCCGAGCGGCATCGTGTATGTGGCACCACCACACCGCCAAACAGCGTTCCCGGTGTGTGTCGGTGCGTTATCCCTGTGAAGCCACCTCTGGTTGTTGGATTCTCCTTCGCACCCAATTTTCACAATACAGCAGTAGCGGCTACGGTTTAAGAGAGGGTCGGTACAAGCCAATTTCACTCTCTTAAATCCGGCTTTCTGTTATATCGTGTTGGCTACAGTATAAAGAGAGAATTCTCTTAAACAGTATCTCACTATAAGAGAATATTCTCTTATATCGTAGACAAAACTAAAGGTCGTGAAACAGGGACTTTCGCGCACTGACTACACTCGAATGCCAAAATCGGTCATGAAGAGAGCGTATCATGCATGTCACTTGCGCAGCTAGCGTTACCNAGTATAAAGAGAGAATTCTCTTAAACAGTATCTCACTATAAGAGAATATTCTCTTATATCGTAGACAAAACTAAAGGTCGTGAAACAGGGACTTTCGCGCACTGACTACACTCGAATGCCAAAATCGGTCATGAAGAGAGCGTATCATGCATGTCACTTGCGCAGCTAGCGTTACCACGTCGGGCTACCTCCAAACACCGCTCATTCTCTTGGTTGAAAAGCACGTGGACCCAAGTACTGCTGTACGTGGTACGCTTTTGGTGGATCTGCGTTCGGAAAATTAATCATCGTTGTGTGATGCGATGCACATTTTGCACGTGGACACGTAGAAGGTTTTTGGTTGAGTTGTTTTATAGCTGTGTTTCATAGTCGCACCTCTTCTAGAAGGACAACACGAGGCAACGAATGCACCAGCACTCAAGAACGACGCACCCGTTTACACAATGCACCCCTTCCTCCCACCGTACCCTCAACATAACACCCTCATACCTCTCATCCCATCGATTTAAACCCCCGACAAAAACACAAGTCAACGAAAAAAAAAGAGCTTCACAATATCAAAACATCACTCGCCGTACGAATAACACAAACCCAAGAAACCAACGGGAGGACAGGCAGTTGTGGCAGATGCGATGCATCCCGGAGGTGCCCTGAGGGTCCACCACACCACAGGTGCCATGGAGGTACTGCCCGCAGACTCCTCTACATTGGTGATTTGTGACCGCCGGCGGGCCTGGCGTGTGATCGGGGACAGCCGTGCAGCGACTGCCCGCCGCGCAGGGCATGGTGTCTGCAGCTGTGTGGGTGTGTGATGTGTGTGTGTGTCCACGTGGTTTCCATATTGTTCGATTTAAGAGAAAAATTCCAGCTGCAATAGGAAATTTCTCTTAAATCGATTTTGATTGGTACAAGCCAATTCCTCTCTCTTAAATCCGTACTTTCTCTTAAATAAGTTCCCTTAAACCGTAGCCGCTACTGGATCGAAATTTTCAGTTCGGTATCCTTCACGGGACATAGCATAGGTAGATAGATCCCTAAACGCACACACACAAACCGTGTTTTTTCTTCAACCGGGGGCGTCGAGCCTCACACCCCTCAGGCCTCGGCATTTTTCGTGAGCCGTCATGAACCTGCCCTGCCGTGACAAACAAAAACAAGGCGCGTACATACGCAGCACTCGGAAAAACGCATTACCTATACATATATCTTTGTACCAGGTACGCAGCTGAAAAGCCACATCGGAAAAGTTTGCCGCTACCTTTGCAGGAGTACTTCTATTTACCTCTGCTGTGGCGGTTGACGGCCAGCGTGCGTAATGTTTCTCTGCGTACGCCCACACCACACCTCATTTGATGGACCTCGCGATCTCGCCCCCTCCCCCCCCCCCCCCCCCCCCCCCCCCCCCCCCCCCCCCCCCCC